CTAAAATTTCGACCACTTTCGGTTAGCGGTTTCCGAGATATCAGGTTACCACACATTTCATGTGGCACGGCTACAGACCACAATTATCAACTAATTTCAATGAAACTTGCAGATTATAATTACTTTAATAATATCTCAGAGTAGGCAAAATTTCGGCCACTTCCGGTTAGCGGTTTCCGAGATATTAGGTTACCACACATTTCATGTGGCACGGCTACAGACTACAATTATCAACCGATTTCCATGAAACTTACAGAATATGACAACATTCATAATATCTAAGAGTAGGCAAAATTTCGGCCACTTCAGGTCAGCGGTTTCCGAGATATCAGGTTACCACACATTTCATGTGGCACGGCTACAGACCACAATTATAAACAGATTTCAATGAAACGTGCTGATTATAATTACTTTAAAAATATCTCATAGTAGCCAAAATTTCGGCCACTTCCGGTAAGCGGTTTCCGAGATATTAGGTTACCACACATTTCATGTGGCACGGCTACAGACCACAATTATCAACCAATTTCGACCACTTCCAGTTAGCGGTTTCAGAGATATAAGGTTGCCACACATTTCATGTTGCACGGCTACAGACCACAATTATCAACTAATTTACATGAAACTTGCAGATTATAATTACATTAATAATATCTCAGAGTAGGCAAATTTTCGACCACTTCCGGTTAGCAGTTTCGGAGATATGAGGCTACTACACATTTCATGTGGCAAGGCTACAGACCACAATTATAAACCGATTTCCACGAAACTTACAGAATATGACAACATTAATAATATCTTAGAGTAGCCAAAATTTCGGCCACTTCCGGTTAGCGGTTTCCGAGAATCAGGTTACCACACATTTCATGTGGCACGGCTACAGACCACAATTATCAACCCATTTCAATGAAACTTGCAGATTATAATTACTTTAATAATATCTCAAAGTGGCCAAAATTTCGGCCACTTCCGGTTAGCGGTTTCCGAGATATCAGGTTACCACACATTTCATGTGGCACGGCTACAGACCACAATTATCAACCGATTTCCATGAAACTTACAGAATATGACAATATTAATAATATCTCAGAGTAGCCAAAAGTTTGACCACTTCCGGTTAGCGGTTTCGGGAATATCAGCTTACCACACATTTCATGTGGCACGGCTACAGACCACAATTATCAACCGATTTGCATGAAACTTACAAAATATGATAACATTAATAATATCTCAGAGTAGGCAAAATTTCGACCACTTCCGGTTAGCGGTTTCGGAGATATCAGGTTACCACACATTTCATGTGGCACGGCTACCGACCACAATTATCAACTGATTTCAATGAAACTTGCAGATTATAACTGGAAGTGGTAGAAATTTTGGCTACTCTGAGATATTATTAATGTTGTCATATTATGTAAGTTTCATTTAAATCGGTTGATAATTGTGGTCTGTAGCCGTGCCAGATGAAATGTGTGGTAACCTGATATCTCGGAAACCGCTAACCGGAAGTGGCCGAAATTTTGGCTACTCTGAGGTATTATTAAAGTAATTATAATCTGCTAGTTTCATTGAAATCGGTTGATAATTGTAGTCTGTAGCCGTGCCACATGAAATGTGTGGTAACCTGATATCTCGAAAACCGCTAACCGGAAGTGGACGAAATTTTGGCTACTCTGAGATATTATTATTCTTGTCAAATTCTGTAAGTTTCATGGAAATCGGTTGATATGAAATGTGTGGTAACCTCATATCTCGGAAACCGCTAACCGGAAGTGGACGAAATTTTGGCTACTCTGAGATATTATTATTCTAGTCAAATTCTGTAAGTTTCATGGAAATCGGTTGACATGAAATGTGTGGTAACCTGATATCTCGAAAACCGCTAACCGGAAGTGGACGAAATTTTGGCTACTCTGAGATATTATTATTCTTGTCAAATTCTGTACGTTTCATGGAAATCGGTTGATATGAAATGTGTGGTAACCTGATATCTCGGAAACCGCTAACCGGAAGTGGACGAAATTTTGCCTACTCTGAGATATTATTAAAGTAATTATAATCTGCAAGTTTCATGGAAATCGGGTGATAATTGTGGTCTGTAGCCGTGCCACATGAAATGTGTGGTAACCTGATATCTCCGAAACCGCTAACCGGAAGTTGTCGAAATTTTGCCTACTCTGATATATTATTAATGTTATCATATTCTGTTAGTTTCATGGACATCAGTTGATAATTGTGGTCTGTAGCCGTGCCACATGAAATGTGTGGTAACCTGATATCTCGGAAACCGCTAACCGGAAGTGGCCCAAATTTTGGCTACTCTGCGATATTATTAATATTGTCATATTCTGTAGCCGTGCCACATGAAATGTGTGGTAACCTGATATCTCGGAAACCGCTAACCGGAAGTAGTCGAAATTATGGCTACTCTGAGATATTATTAAAGTAATTATAATCTGCAAGTTTCATTGAAATCGGTTGAAAATTGTGGTCTGTAGTCGTGCCACATGAAATGTGTGGTAACCTGATATCTCTGAAACCGCTAACCGGAAGTGGTCGAAATTTTGGCTACTCTGAGATATTATTAAAGTAATTATAATCTGCAAGTTTATTTGAAATCGGTTTGTAATTGCGGTCTGTAGCCGTGCCACATGAAATGTGTGGTAACCTGATATCTCCGAAACCGCTAACCGGAAGTGGTCGAAATTATGGCTACTCTGAGATATTATTAATGTAATTATAATCTGCTAGTTTCATCGAAATTGGTTGATAATTGTGGTCTGTAGCCGTGCCACATGAAATGTGTGGTAACCTGATATCTCGGAAACCGCTAACCGGAAGTGGCCGAAAGTTTGGCTACTCTGAGATATTATTAAAGTAATTATAATCTACAAGTTTCATTGAAATCGGTTGATAATTGTGGTCTGTAACCGTGCCACATGAAATGTGTGGTAACCTGATATCTCGGAAACCGCTAACCGGAAGTGGGCGAAATTTTTGCTACTCTGAGATATTATGAAAGTAATTATAATCTGTAAGTTTCATTGAAATCGGTCGATAATTGTGGTCTGTAGCCGTGCCACATGAAATGTGTGGTAACCTGATATCTCGGAAACCGCTAACCGAAAGTGGTCAAAATTTTGGCTACTCTGAGATATTATTAAAGTAATTATAATCTGCAAGTTTCATTGAAATCGGTTGATAATTGTGGTCTGTAGCCGTGCCACATGAAATGTGTGGTAACCTGATATTTCCGAAACCGCTAACCGGAAGTGGTCGAAATGTTACCCACGCTGAGATATTATTAATGTTATCGTTATCTGTAAGTTTCATTGAAATCGGTTGATAATTGCGGTACGGAGACTTGCCACATGTGGCAAATAGTCTCCGGATTGTCGTACCACATGTGGCAAATAGCCCCAGCCATAAAAAACAACAGGAATGCAATGCCTGTTGAAAACTCGATTTTACCTGCTCTCGCTTCGGTTCGTTTTTTTTTCAATAATTCGTAATGTCAGGCAACCAAACTTCTGTCAATTCACTCAGATATGTTTTTTCTTCAATCTAGTCGTTTTGATTTGCATAAATACTCCCACAAAACGATATCATCGCCACTTGTTTCCAATATTTACATCGTTTTCGTCCATTTTCATTTTGTCACGGCCGCTGACGTCACACAAATAGACGCATTCGACAGACCTCGTTTTTCTTGTTGCTGGGGTTGAGGGATTCTACCGATATTCGCCGAATATGTATAGACGTTTCACTGACGCATGAGACGACCCTACTCCTTATTATGTGTTAACCATTCGGCCATTTTAGTAGCTTTTCATGTAAGCAATTTTAAAATGGGAGCTAAAGAATAAAATTTGCCTATTTTTTTTAGTTTTTAGTACCGTAGCTTTTCATGTAAGCAATTTTAAAATGGGAGCTATTGGATAAAATTTGCCTAATTTTTGTGATTTAAACAATGTTTTTTTTTTTTAAATCGACTTCATAGGGCTTACGGCAGAGTTACACAAGCTGTGACAGGTCTTGTAATTGAAAAAAATATTTATAAATACAATATTATGTGATATCAATATAATTTTTAGTTCATCTGATTTAACATTTCGTATTTTAGAAACAATTATGGAAAAAATATTTGATACCGTTCTTTGGTAAATACCTTAAAATTAATATTCCTGGAATTCATAACTGCTCTTCGGCATTTTGACAAGCCTAAACCGACTATTAAATTTATCATATTTTCTAAAACATCATGTGGAAAATCAGATGAATTTATTTTTGGAATTTTTTTTTAAAATTTTAATTTATGAAGCGTCAATACTCGAATATGTGCAGGATTTTTTTTTATATAGGCCTATATATAAAGTTTTTTTGTCTTTTAAAATGCTGTTTGGTAAATCCAACAAACTACAAATGGTTCTGTTGAGGCCCTTCAAAATTGAATGGATGATTTATTTATTATAATTGTTTTGTTTTTTTCTTAAATAGTAGGCCTACTTAGCCTATGCAGAAATGAAATTTTTACATTAGTTTTAATTGTTTCTAAAATACGAAATGTTAAATCAGATGAACTAAAAATTATATTGATATCACATAATATTGTATTTATAAATATTTTTTTCAATTACAAGACCTGTCACAGCTTGTGTTACTCTGCCAAAGCCCTATGAAGTTGATTTTAAAAAAAAAAAAAACATTGTTTAAATCACAAAAATTAGGCAAATTTTATCCTATAGCTCCCATTTTAAAATTGCTTACATGAAAAGCTACGGTACTAAAAACTAAAAAAATTAGGCAAATGTTATTCTTTAGCTCCCATTTTAAAATTGCTTACATGAAAAGCTACTAAAATGGCCGAATGGTTAACACATAATAAGGAGTAGGGTCGTCTCATGCGTCAGTGAAACGTCTATACATATTCGGCGAATATCGGTAGAATCCCTCAACCCCAGCAACAAGAAAAACGAGGTCTGTCGAATGCGTCTATTTGTGTGACGTCAGCGCATGGCGGCCGTGACAAAATGAAAATGGACGAAAACGATGTAAATATTGGAAACAAGTGGCGATGATACCGTTTTGTGGGAGTATTTATGCAAATCAAAACGACTAGATTGAAGAAAAAACATATCTGAGTGAATTGACAGAAGTTTGGTTGCCTGACATTACGAATTATTGAAAAAAAACGAGCCGAAGCGAGAGCAGGTAAGATCGAGTTTTCAACAGGCATTGCATTCTTGTTGTTTTGTATTATATATTGTCTGGTACGACATGGTGTATGCATATATATACGGATAGAAGGTCAGATTCATGTGGTTTGTTGCCACGAGAGTGGATTTAAAAGATAGAAAAAGGGCGAAACTACATGAGTTGACTCTGAACCGAGAACCGTTACAATATATACGTCATTAGTTACAATCAACTAACTTAGTCTAAATTAAATCGCCGAGTTTTAGCCAAAATTTTAATCTAGTTCTTAACTACTTATTTTTAAAAGTCTAACGGGTAAAGAATAATTTTTTACATGGCTTCATTGATAAATAAGTGAATGAATATTGTCACGTGAATGTCTATTTTGGGCGACTGTTTGCTGCTTGCAGTGCACGAGCGAGCCCGTGAGAGCACTTTTCTCATAAACGAAGTTTTGATCCGCGTGACAACATGCTGTTAAAACAGGTCAGTTTATATAGTACAGCTAATTGAGTGTGTTGGCCACTCTACATATGGCCCATGAAGAGAGAAATTTTACATCATCTTGTTTTAGAACGAGTTATCTCCCTTAGATGTTGTTTATGATAATTTAAAAGACCGGATAATTTAGCCAATGACCTATTATTCTCAAATGTTGACAACGCATGCAGACTAATATTTGTAGAATATTTTTCTGGATGATAGAGACCTTTGACAATTAAAGTTTGAAACTAGAACTGCGATGCAGTAATGACGGGTTTCAACGGTGCCACGTTACCCTTGAACTTATGTCACTTCCGGTGCCACGTTACCCAGCAATATCAATTTCATTTATACATTTGTTACCATGTCACATGTGTTACATATGTCAAAAAAGTGATCTTGGCAAAAATTGTTACTAACTTACCGCTAAGTTAGCTCACTTTCTAATGGGAAATTACTCGACAAGGGAAGATGCTAGAAGCAATTTTTGGACATCTATATGATCGTATTGATCCAATCTATATGTCCACGGGAATCAAATATTATCATAATGTTAAACGAATAATAAATATAACTCACTAAAATATTTGTTTGGAAGGCTAAAAATAGAGTTTTTGCTCAAATAACATCATTTCCGGTGACAGTGTAAACGTTAAAATGGTTTGACCTATTCAAAATTGGCATTAGGCATCACATGGTAAAAAAAATTGAAAATCGAATGATAATTGACTCTTACAGGCAAAATAACGCCAAATTGATTATTTCTCGGCAACTGTTCATATTACAAACTAATTTCGACATAGATTGTCTTCGTATAGATAGATGCTACAAGTTTATGAACATTACATAGAAATATTTAAAAATATGAAAAGCCTGAATGGGTTGTAAATTGTTTAAATTTACGCCCTTTTTCACCGTTAAATCGAAATGGCGCAAACACAAAATCCAAATTAACAAAATTGAGTTTAACATTTTTTGCGCTTGTCATAGGGTCATTCTACTTGATCTATCAGATTTGTAAAAATTAATATTTGCTTCCGAAAAGACAGGTCAAAATTGTAAATTCTAGCAAAATTACGTCAATTCCGGTATCGACAGAAAACGTTATCGGTAACAAAGATTTTGCATCATGAAACATATGAAATTTGTTTTATACATATCAGGCAATAAATAATTAACCTAGAATCCATAAACTGTAATTAAAAAGGATGAAAAAATCTTATAAAGTGATCCGGAGAAAATTGGTTATTTCTCGACAAGGGAAGATGCTAGTAGTAGTCCATGTGTCAGGCAGATATTCATTACCAATTTGATGAATTGGTTTAACTATGATTTTCAGTTAGCCTTAGGTCTAAAGTGTCCAAAATTGGTTGATGGACTTCCGGGTCACTTTGCCAAATGTCAGTTTGGCGGCCATCTTTAAAAAAAATGGCCGCCGTTTTTTTTCTTATTTGAAATAGTGCGAGTCGTGGAAGCCTTCATAACTCCTCAACAGTTTCACCTATATGGATATGTAATATATCTCAAAATGTTCATAATATAATTCTGCATCTGCTGGTATATGATATATGTTGTTTAATCAATACTATCAGTTTTAAAATAAAAGATTAATCTGAAAAAAGCAACATTTTCGATTTTTTTTTTCATGTCTGTTCGTATGTTTACTAACAAATCGTGTTCAGACCCATATAAGCCAAATATTTGTTTGGTCAACTTAAGTGATTGAATAGATATCAGAAACATTGATCATAAAAAATAATCTCAAATATGAGTGTCCCAGATCCAAGATGGCGGAAATTCAAAATGGCGACAAAATTTCCTAAAATGGCCAATATGTCAGATAATAGTCATTTCATTGTTTGATATGACATGTACTATCCAATGAGCTTACAATTAAAGATTCATTACGTAAGATTTAGATAAAGAGCTAGCCATTCTTGCTACAATAGTTCGAAAATAGATAATGTAAAATGAATAATTTGACAATTTCATTCAAATTACTCTATTGCAAGCGAAGATATTAGCCTTTGAAGGTTTGACAAGACACGTGCAATAATTTCAACAACTGTACTGGTTGCTCGAAGCTAAGTCTCGCTCCTCCATTTTTAGATTAAATCAAAATATGACTGATACATTCTAATTTATTTAATATCGGAGAAATCCGATGCCATCGAGAGTTGATTATGGCCTGGGTCAGTTAATTAATGTCTAAATAATAATTTAGAAAACATTTCAGGCCTAAAGAAAGACCTGCAATAGGCAGATTTAGCTCTTGCACAATGTTTGTTTAATCTAAACAAAGAGTTTTAAAAATCCAAGATGGGGAAAATTCAAAATGGCGGTCAGAATTTCCATAACACGAATGACTGTTTTATATAGCTTATAATGTCTCTTTTATAAGGTTTACAGAGTCACTGAACATCAATAAAAACTCAAAAATAATGCTGAAAATGATGTTAATGATACTGCTAAAAATGACACATCCTATGCGACCCCCCTCCCCCACACACACACCCCCATAAACAATAAAATGGGGCATAATATGATGGAATTGATTATTTTGGATCTCACAGATCACAAGACATTTCACCAAAATAGTGAGTCATTTTAATTTCATCTACTATGCCTTTGCACCATTTTAAGCCGTATTGAGAATTATTTATGATATATCCAGTTGTTAAGAATTTAAGATCTCTTATTCGTTCAGAAATGGTAATGTGGTCCGTTTTTACATTAACGCCTCTATGCCCGGCAACTTTTGTCGTATAGTCTAGTAGGCCTGCAACCAAAATTTTTAGCTTGCTTAGAAACACAGTTCCGCTACAAGGTCCTCCCTATTAAACAAACTATACATATTTGGAAAGCTTATAACACCAGGAACACAAATCCAATTAAAATGTTTTAAGGCCAGATGAAAATTGTGATAATTGTCAAGTAAATGTTATATTTATACTAACAATTGTGAAGTTGACATAAAATTACACATATGATACCTAGGATAGGACAGGCTTATCTTTGCTCCGTGAGGTGAACGACGGGGTTCTCTACAACCAGACTCGAAATTTCTTTTGAAAAAACTGACTGTAATTTAAATGGTACTTTCTAGAGTATATCCTGGTGTTTTTAGCTTATGCATATATCTTAATAATTCATCAAAAACGACATAAATTCATAACTACGCGAGAACATTGACTAGTTCAGGGACCCCCGAAACTACCATACTCCTTTTGAGTGTCCATCCCTGAAAAGGGAGGCAAAAGATATGATGTTAAAACGATAATTCATATATTATTTTACAGTTATATATATAAAAAAAATGTCTCCTTTTTATCCAATGGACAATTTATTGTTAGTTCATGCAGAAAGATATGGTGCTTATAAACGTGTTGCAAATTTCCGTATTACACGGTAGACTTCAACGTATCATATACACAATAGGTATTTATTTTACAAGTATAAAAAATGTTTCCGTTTTATCGAATGAACAATTTATTGTTAATTCGCGTGGAAAGATATGATGTTAAACATGTTACAACTGGCATATTAGTCGAGTATTTTACATTTTACAGAAAGTTTACGTTTAATCGAAAATTCCAATAAACAATTTATTTTTAAGTTGAAGGGAGTGTCCTACAGGTGGTAGACCATATTAAATGCTGCTTGAATGTGTATTTTCATAAACTTTGTATGCATATAGATTATTATACCGAAGGTTCGTCTGGATAGAAAATAAGATTTTGTATGAAACAGGTGTCCTAGAAAAAATGGGTTCACTAACATCAAATATCTGGTTCTACAAATTGTATTTGTCCCTTCTAAGCTAATACCTGTGCGGAACAAACCTTTCCGTTTCATCGAAAATTCCAATAAATAATTCAATTTTAAATTCAGTGGCTACGAAAACCCTATACATGATATATCACAAGCCCTACCTTGCATGATACTATAATAATAATAATAATAATAATAATAATAAAAACTTTATTTAATTAGGCAACATATTTAGTTTGCAAAAAAACTAATCTTCCATAGGTCCCTCCTAAGCTACAAAGACATATATACATGTAATATCAGGATAAATTTAAAATCATTAGAAATGCAATAGCATTTTAAAGTGGGAAGTTTGATAAGTCACTCCCAAACTTCAAAACATATACATTATACAAGTAGAAAATAGGAAGAACACTATAATTACACACAAAATAAAATAGAATGCAGTTGCAAGTTAAAAATAATAAGTATGTCATCAGTTGAATATTATGGTTCCTTCAGTGTGCAAAATAAATGACTTTTCAGTTTAATCTTAAAATTTTCAACATTTTTACACATCTTTATATCAAAAGGCAGATTGTTCCATAAAAGACATGCAGAATAATGAAAAGTACGTTTCATGGATTCCGTTTTGCAATTTTGAAGAAAAAGAGATTTACTTGTCTGTGATATCCGTTTTGGAAACAAGAGATTTTTCAATAAAATAGAAATTTAGATAAAGTGAAATATTAAATGTAATAATTTTGAATGCTAAGACAATT